TATATATATATAAATTAATCAATGGCCCCAATGAGTAGCTTAGTTTTACAAAAGCTTGCATACATTTATGATTCATGGTTTATAGTTCCCACAGATTACGCCATCGGTGGCTTGTCTTCGGTATTCAAGTTGAAATCACATACTCATACCTCTTATGTTAGGACTCTAACTTACTTCCTTTCTTAGCCTTACATACCTAGTGCATTATCTGTACTGACGCTCTTTTCTTGGGGAGATGTGTTCATGCCCATAGGTACAAGTAGACCCGATGACGTCCCTCCCTAGTAGGGTGTTGTTCCAGCTGATTGGTCGTTGCACTCCACTTCTTTGGAGTAGTTGTTCAGGAGTTAATAGGTACTGAAGTATATGTTCAAATCATTTTGGGTAAGGTGGGGCCCTGTTCCGACCTAGTAATGTATGTGTATATTTCTCTTGATACTCTTAGAGGCTTGCAGACTAGAGTTCGGTTGTATGTAAAAGGGTCATTTATGACCTTGTTAAGAACAATTATAAATATGTATAAAATGTCTATGTTTCCTTGCAAGACAGTTATTCACATTTTAAATTCTGGTTTTCATTACTCGAAGGCCTCATTGACCCTGATTTCATAATGGGATAGTCTGAGTATGGACGTCGGTTTCAGGTGTCGTGTGCCAGTCGTACCTCCCAAGGATGGGGTGTGACAAAAGGTATTCCAATAACTAATAATTTCAACCACAATCGTGTTAATAACTTTCAACAGCTACAACTTTAATAACTCAACGATAAAGGTATTTCCATGAAATGACATCTTCAAATTCTAATGTATAACATAAGTTTAACAATAAAAGAGGTAGCATGAAATAGCAACTACGACTAAATGCATGAGAATAACTCAACAATGGAAAAAATAGCATGTAACAACAATTACTAATAATTGCATATAAGGGAAACCTCGACAATGAACTAGAACATGAAATAACAACCTCAATTAAAGCATGTAAGAATAAACTTGACAACGAAAGGTAGAACAATTAATGACAACTTCAATTAAATACTTATAAGTAACCTTAGAGTCTAAACCGGCTAATTTTCACATATAAAACCGTGTACACCCTCGTCACATCATGTATACTTCTTTCATATAATTCAAGTAGCGCAATCAAACCCAATCTGAAGGGGTAGTTCCCCCACACAAAGTTAGGCAAGATACTTACCTCAACTAGGTCAAACCAATACTCAAAAATAGCTTTCCCGTAGAATTCGCCTCCGCACAGCTCAAATCTAACCAAAACGACTTAATAATAACAAATAATACAAGAGAAACCAATTTCAATTAATAAGGCTATGATCTTTACAAAATTCAACAAAATTCATCCTGGGCTCGTCCAATCAAAATCCGAGTCTAATGGTAGATATTGACTACCCATAACCCGACGAGTCCATATATGTGTTTTGTTTTTCAAATCTGAGTCCAATTCGACTCTCAAATCACAAATTTTTATTTTTTAAAAATATAGACAAAAATCCCCATACTTTTCCTTCAAATCTCATGATTTAGATGTTAAATCTCATATATAATCATGTAATATAATTGAAAATTGATCAAAATTACTTACCCAATGGTTTAGTATGAAAATCCCTCNCCACCGAGTCTAAGGCTCAAAAAGTGATAAAATGAGACTAAGTCCTAAAATACAAAATATATAACCAGGTGCAAATGTCGCATTTATGACAAGGGGTTCACAAATGCAAACCCTCGCAAAAGCGGAGAAGCCTTCGCAAAAGCGGCCCCTGACAAACTCTGAAGATGTCGCAAAAGCGACCAAAAACTCGCAAATATGAACTCAGGCATATTCAATTGTCGCAAATGTGGAAGATCCCCTACCCATGTACAATCACAAATGCGATTTGATAGTTCGCAAATGCGAATTCCCCTGTTTCCAGCCCTCTTTGCAAAAGCGAGAAATCTCTAGCAAATGTGGTTGTCGCAAATGCGACCAATTCCTCGCAAATACGAGAACTAAACTCCAACAAAAAAATTTTGAACTCTCTCAAACTCTCTGAAACGCGTCGTAAACTCACCCGAGCCCTCGGGGCTCCACACCAAACATTCATACAAGTCTAAAAATATCATACAAACTTACTCGCATGATCAAAATACCAAAATAACAACCGAAACCACGATTCAGACACCAAAACATATGAAAATCACAATGAACTTCAAGAACTTCTAAAAACACAACCACGCATTCGATTCCTATCAAACCAACTCGGAATGACACCAAATTTTGCAGACAAGTCACAAATGATAAAACGGACCTATTCAAATCCCGAAATCAAAATCCGAACTCGATAGCCATAAAGTCAAACCATGGTCAAACTTAGAAAAATTTCAAACCTTTAAATTTCCATCTTTCGCCAACAAGTACCAAATCAACCTAGGGACCTCCGAATTAAATTCTGGACATACATCCAAGTCCAAAATTACGATACAATTCTATCGAAGCCATCAAAATACCGTTCCGGGTTATTTTCACAAAAGTCAAACCCCGGTCAACATTTCCAACTTAAACTTCTAAAACGAGAATCATTCTTCCAAATCAATCATGAATCACTCGAAAACTAAAACTGACCATGAACGTAAGTCGTAATACACAATATGAAGTCATTCAAGACTTTAAACTACCGAACGGAACGCTAAAGATCAAAACGACGGATCGGATCGTTACATCTCTAGGTGCCTATGCATTACCACACACGATATAGGACCTCCCTCTGTTTATATATACAACTAATGTATTTTTGATTGTCAAAGGTTGTTTACTTTATTTCCTAAATTAGTATAAATCTTTATGATTATCAATAACTATCTTTAAAAAATTTCTTAAGTGATCGACTAGTGTAAAAGAAATTTAATGCAGAAGTTGACCTTCAAAGAAAATAATACATAAATTTTGCGACAAGCTGCGGAATGAAATTTCTTTAACTTAGGATGTACAAATATTGTTCACAAAAGCTGTTTGCACATGATGTCTATTCGTACGCTTTTGGATGAACCCGCACGATTCGACTTCCTTATTCCATCTACTTCCACTTCAAACAAAGTATTCCTTTAAAATTTGGGAGTGCAGGTACCTAATTATGACGTGCCTTAAGGTTAACCTATTACCAGAAAGAGAAAGAACCAAGTCAAATGTATTCATATCCTAACTTGTCCTAGACCTTACGTGTCCCTCAAAACTATACAAAGAATCTCTACCACCCTTAATTTCCTTTTCCTACAAAACATACCCAAACCAAGTACCATAACTATCTTCCTCCAAATTTCCAAAAATATGGAATCCGTTGCATCCAGTTCTACCCCTTCCGACCACCACCACCACCGTCATCGCCTCCGGCTAATGCCAACACAACCACTCGCCGACCGAATCATCCGTGCCGTGAGCCACCATCTCCGCCTCCTCCACCACGCCGACACCACTTTCTTTATCTTAGGCGCAACCGGAAATGTATATACCGTTAACCTCTCCACCACCCCATCATGCAGCTGCCCTGATCGAACCACCCCATGCAAACACATCCTCTTCGTCCTCATCGGCGTATTGGGGGTCTCCATCGACGACACGTGTCTTCTCCGGCGAACTCTCCGGCCATGCGAGCTCCAACGCCTTCTCAGCTTACCCATCTCTACTGAATCTCTAGCAAACCCTAATGTTCGAGAAAGGTTAGAAGGAGCACAATTCTAATTATATCATGTCTCGACACGCTCCACACGTCTGTGTTTAATTGCCAAACAAGTGGAAATATATTTATTTTTGCGAGAGTGAGATTTAAACTCAGGACCTCTTGTGAGTCTACTCTAATATCATAGTATTGAATTATATAACTATATGTCGTAGCCTAATTTTAATTATTTAATTATGTCTTAACAGGTTTCACCAGACGTTTTTTAAGGAAAGACCAAAATGTTCGCCGTTGAGAATAGAGATAGAGGACGGTGTTACATGTCCGGTGTGTTTGGAAGAGATGAATAAGGGAGAAAGAGTGGCAGCTTGTGGGACATGTAGAAATCCATTACATGAAGAATGTTTGATGCAATGGAAGAGAAGTAACAGAAGAAGATCCATAAGCTGTGTGATATGCAGGACAAAGTGGAGAGATGTGAGAGCTGAGCAAGAAGCTGAGAGGTATTTGAATTTGTCTGCTTATATTGGCGGCGATAATGACATGCATATTGTGGAAGATCAGCAGAGCTACTGTGGGGATTAGGCCTTTGAAAATATACAATTCACGACAATTCAGAAAGAACTGCTCTAATGTTAAACTTGTTTAATTAGTAGTGCAATTTGTATATTTCTCTTTTATTTTTATAATGTTAATATTAGGATTTGACCAGTTGTACTATATATCTCTGCAAAAGTAAATTCAAGTACTAATTGGGTTGAGAAAGTAGAAATGACTTGCTGCGCAAAAACTTCTGTTTTCTAGCTTGTTACATCACAATTTAACGTAACAAAAGGATTTTTCTTTTACTTTCGTTAATTTTGGATGGTTATTAACAAAATCTTGTCCATTTAGCATAAATAATACTTAGTAAGTAGGGAGAACTTTACCAGGTTCCCACTTTCATGCATCTTCGTATTGTTTCTACCTTTTTAATATAATACTATAATACCAAATCAAAGTATGATTCTATATATGTTTCTCAATAAATATGTCCTTTACAAAATTATTTTTAGTTTGTTGTCTTTTTTATAAAAGGACTTTATTTTTAAACATAATAGATCTGAAAATAACATACAAGATATCTTTGTAAGATTATTTTTCTTTTCGATTTATAAAGTGCTATGTCCAACCATTTCCTCATAAATATACTTATAATTAGGTGTGAAAATTCTCTTTATTTTGTTGTGAACTTATTCATTGCAGAATTCCCAACAAGTGAAGTTTTGCACGATACAAAGCTAAGTAGGCTACTTGTTTCTTGAGAAGTAGTTAACATAGTTGACCAGCTCTTTCAAATACTATCGTAAGATAACGATCGACGCTACTAAAAAAATTATCAAAAAGCGTCCTTAAAAACCGATCGAAATCGGTCGAATCGAACAAAAACCGACCGTTTTTAATTCGTCGAAAAAATAATGGTCGCTAACAACTACCGACCGCAGACGATCGATATTTCCGACCGAAGTCGATCAGTAATTTTTAACGCACTTTGACCAAATATTCCGACACAAAATAAACTTAGCGACTTGAAAATAATTTTTAATTATTTTTAAAAGTAGCGACCGATTTCGGTCGGAATTTTAATTATTTATTTTTTTAAAAATTATTCAATTCTGACCAAAATCAGTCGGTATTATCAAAATATTTAATATTTAAAATTAAAAATTCCGACCAAAGTCTGTTGGTAAATTTCTGGGAAATTAATTGAACATTTCCAACCGACTTCGGTGGGTAGGCGGTCAGTTTTTTGGGTATTTTTTGATAAAATACAGCTGTTTTATAGCTTCACCACCTGCCAACAACCAATCACCTATAATGGCAGCATTACATTGGCGTCATTCAACCAATAACAACAACCATCACAACTATGAAAACTATATTAACAAAACATCTCCATCTCCACTAAACTATATTAACAAAACATCATACCCAACAACAAAACGTTTACAAGTTAAAAGTTCAAACATCATTCAATGAGTATTTTGTACTACATCATCTCCATATCCACTACTAGAACCTTCATCGCCGGCATAGTTCGAAGGATCACGGCGAGAAGGAGACACATCTGGGGAAGGCTCACGAGACCGGGGAATGGGAAAAGCACCCCTAGCAAGAAAATTGGCCAGCAGACCTTGAAGGACATTAAATTGTTGGTCTCTCTTTTCTAGTTGAACTTGAAGGGTATCAAATTACTTATCTCTCTTTTGTTCTCTAGCCTTTAACTCTTCAAGCTCTGCTGTCAGCTTTGCGATCTTCTTCTCCATAGATGAGAGAGTCGACCTATCAATTGCCTCGCCCTGGGCGAAAGTCCCTATACCTTGCAATCCAGCTCTGTAGCGCTGAAATGATCTCTGGAAGGTCGTATGCTATCCCCTTTTTAGGACCACCGACAACATCTAACTATATCTTCTGCGCTTCTTCGTCTGAAAGGGGTGGTTGCTCGCCTTCCTTATTCGGTGGCAAGCTCTGAGTGTATTCCTACACATTAGTCTTGTAGCGACCCTTTATTTAGAAGATAGAAAATTATTAAATATATAATATTATAAACATTAATTTCAAGTTATAGTAGTTATGAAACTTACATATGTAGTCTCCGTCCGGTCCTCGACCTATCTAGTTGGATCTGTCGGTGCCTTTTTCTTTCGGATGTGAGTCTCCATGAAGAACTCATCATGAGTCATCTTCCTCCTATATTTTTTTTCCTACGAATATAATAAAACATGTTAACTAAATTAAAATATATAAATATAATTCGATAAAAATAGAATTAAATATTTTAAGGAATTACTAGTAGTCTCCTCGTAGTCCCCATGCTTCTTGCACCCACATAGTGCAAGGATCCACCTTTCTCAGATGCCCAGACCTTCTTTCCCTGTTCACTCCTCTTCTCGAATTTCTCAGTAGTCCACTGCCTCAGCAGATCCTCCTATATGTGCGGTAGAACCCATGAAATCTTCTTGATTTTCTTTCGAGTAGAAGAGAAGGAATCATATAGTCTTTTATGGTATTTGAACTCAAAATTTGTAAGAATGGCACTGTTATGTCGGTCCTCCCAGGCACACTTAGTCTGCAAATTAAGTGTGTAATGTTAGATGAAATTATTGTTAATATATTGGCCAAATAGGTGTACGACCCCTTAAACTTGGCTCCAGTTTCCAATTTGATACTTTAACTTAGCGTTTTTCCTATTGAACACTTTAATATTATATAAAGTGATCTATTGAACACTTTACTCATAACCAGTAAAAACAATAAGGTGCGTGTAATTCACACATGAATGACTTAGCAAAAATGACAAATGAGAGGGACACACGTGGCATTTGGGCCCAAATAGTCAAAAAGAAGTTTTGAAAACAAAAAAGATTTATTCTAAATACCCCCTCCCACCGTCATCTTCTTCCCAACCACCCCCTTTCTTTTTTCATTCCATGGAATCCCACCAGCCTAAGTGCATCATCGTCCAGCACCCCAGCAAGCGTTGGGGGTAGCTTTCGGATATCAGCTTCATGGGCCTCTTGAGCCTTTGATTATTTACTACTTTAGTGAAGCTTAGATCTGTTAAAAATGAGGTATCATCTGACATTCACTGCCTACCTGAAATAGGTTATTTTGACCAGAGGGACGACAATATTATAATGGACTCAACTGTGTTCAAACCTTTCTGCCCGCAGCTGAAATCAGTAATTCTTAGGCAGTATTAGGGAGATTAGTTGCTTAAATTATGTATATCTGATGAAGAAGTTTAATAGGATTCATCGTTGGATGTTGCATCGGAAGTTGAATCCACAGAAGGTGTGTACTAAAAGGCCAAGTAGATCTAAGCTTCATGGGCCTCTTGAGCATTCTTTACCTTCTTGAAGTATTTACACACATTCTTTGATGCAAAATTCTGTCCATACCTTTCGCTGATATAGGATTGAATGTCCTTGGCAGCTTCATCTGAAATATGCAACCCATCTGTTCTGGTCTTCCATCGTTGTGGTATCGGAGATTCGTTCGTGTTCTGTCTATTACTGATTTTGTGGTTGGTGTGTAAATATTAAAACCTTGATAAAATTTATTTCGGCAACAAAATTTATTAATTCCGGCGATCTCCATTAATTCCGGCAATAAAATTTATTTCCGTTCTTCTTCTGCTTTTAAAAAAGTCAATTTTGATTTAAACATAAAAAAAGAACAACATTATCTCAAACCCATTAAATTCACGCGCGTAAGAGGGGGTGAAATACAGCTCTCTTGCCATGTCAGCTTTTGTGTTTAATGGGCATACATTAATTTAGGTTGAAGTGTTCAATAGGTAATGGGCTTAGTTAAGGTGTCAAAATAGAAACTGGAGCCAAGTTTAAGGGATCGTACACCTATTTGGCCTAATATAATACTTAAATAGATAAGAATTGTATTATAACCTTAAATTGGTTTAAAATTTGCTCCACGAGCTCCGGTGGAAATTCACTCCAAGTCGCATAGGGTGCATCATACAACCGACCAAAAGTTTCAGTGATTATCTTTATAGTCTGATGACTAGGTATGAACCTGCAATATAGCAATTACATTAAATAAACAAGACTGGCTATTATAATTCAGCAAAAACAAAAGAAGTAATAAATAAATCTTACCCATTGCCCTCAAGCTTGATGATCATCCTATGATAACGATCATACTGCACTTCCTCTGGATCATCATCCTCCGATGAATCTGAAGCATACGTAAAAGGGGAGGCAACTAGCTCAGCGCTACTATCCCAAAGGCGGAGTCTAGAAATGCTAGGAGACGAACTCGGTGGAGAGGTAGACGGGGTCGCTGATGAAGATGGATGCGATCTTGACCCCTGCTGCGATCTAGACCCCTGCTGCGATCCAGACCACTGCTGTGATCCGGGTGGCTGAAATCTAGATGGATATGATCCAGCTAGTGGTGAAGCAAATAGAGCAGATGACGGGTGTATCACCACATGGCCATGTGACTACTGACTCGATGGACCCATGTAACTATATGTGGGATCATATGGAGGAAGCGGGGTATAGCCCTGTGGTGGAGAATGGTAAGCATACTGCTGGGAGGGCAAATGGTAGGTAGTTTGATGAGTAGATGGATGTGGTGGAAAATATGTGTGCCTAGAAGATTGTTGTCGGCCATCAGCGGCGGAGGGATGCAAGTGTGGAGTGGAAGGAAGCGAGGATGTAGCACCATCCTTATGATCAATAGGCCTCTTATCCTTCCTAGACCTATCTCGACCCATACCGGTTATCTGCATAAATTAAAGAAAATGTTAGAATTGAGAATATAAGTCTATATAAGTTGAGAGCGCTTGAAACAACTAACATGCTAGTCGTCTTCGAAGTATCCTTCCTCGTCCGAAAATTCTTCCTCTTCACTTATTTCATTTTTATCAGCTGATTCTTAGTACTCATTTTCTATGATTGTTATTTCCTCTATATCAACTTCTTCTAATATGCGTTGAGGATGCTCCAAGTCATTTTCTAACTGATCATCCACCATTTGTTTAACGATTGAGGTATCACTTTGGTAAGCAACATCTAGCACATTCTCAACTTCCACCCTACCAACAGGTTTAGTTTGGATTACAACCAACCAATCATTCATATCCCTTCGC